AGGCAGGAGACTCGCTTGAGCCCAGGAGTTGGAGGTTGCTGTGAGCTGTGATGCCATGGCACTCTACCCAGGGGGACAGCTGGAGGCTCCTGTCTAAAAAAAAAAAAAAAAACAAAAACCCACAAACAAACAAACAAACAAAAAAACCTGTTTGGCTAAGTGTGGTAGCTCATGCCTATAATCCCAGTACTCTGGGAGGCCAAGGCAGAAGGATCCCTCAAGCTCAGGAGTTCAAGACCAGACTAGGTAAAAGCAAGAGCTCATCTCTACTGAAAAATATAGAAAAATGGGTGGCGCCTGTGGCTCAGTGGGTAGGGCCCTGTCCCCAGACAAACTGCAACAAAAAATAACTAGGTGTTGTGGCGGGAGCCTGTAGTCCTAGCTACTTGGGAGGCTGAGGCAAGAAGATGGCCTAAGACCAGAAGTTGGAGGTTGCTGTGAGCTGTGATGCCATAGCGCTCTACTGAGGGTGATAAAGTGAGACTCTGTCTCAAAAAAGTATATATATATTTAATTATATATTTGTATATTTATATATAATTTTTCTAATCCCAATATACTGGGAGGCCAAGGCAGGAGGGTCCCTCAAGCTCAGGAGTTCAAGACCAGCCTAGGCAATAGCAAGAGCTCGTCTCTGCTAAAAATTATAAAAAAATGGGTGGTGTAGGTAAAATTAGCTAGGTACTGTGGTGGGCGCCTATAGTGCTCAATCCTCAGGAGCTGAGCCAGGAGAACTACTTGAGCATAGGAATTCAAGTCCAATCTAGACAGCATAGTAAGACCCTGTCTCTAATTTTAAAAAGGATGTGGGAGGGGCCACATTTCTATTTCTATTAATAGAAATAGACATTTTGACAATGCAATATGACTCCTCCTATAAGATATTCTTTAATCTATACATAGACTAAAGAGAAGAGAAGCCTACTGTCAGACTTTAAAAATTTTTTAAATTACGTTCCATAGTGTCTGTGTTCAAGGTGTATTTTCTAAAATAAAATCTAAAACGGTTTGTTGTAGATGAGACCTTTTCTGATCAGGACCATCTTTATGCATGGTGGGTACACACCAGAGAACAGGGCGCTGGGCACCATGTGCTAATGGACACTGACCCGGCCTGACAGGGTGGGAAAGCAGGAATGGGACAACATCACCCTACTGTTATCTCTGGACAGCAAGGGTTTGCAAGTGTAAAGAGAGGGAAGCAATCGATTTCCTGGTTCCATCCCTAGTTGCTCTTTAGTTCACCTTTACTGTGGAGATAGTGAAGGAAACAAATGTACACTGGCCGATGTGTAAAGAGTGACACTTCTGTGAACATGAAAAGGACAGACGCTCAAACCAACTCGAGCATAAGCTGTCTTTTTTCTAGGATCCAGAAGTTTGGACAGTGCTTGGTTTCGGAAAAAGACAAAGGAATGGGAGGAAACTTTAATTCTTCTTGTTACCCTTTATATATAGTTTGCAAATCACCTCCCAACCCCCAGAAAGGTAACAGAAATATTTATATAGGCCCTAGAACTAAGGAGCATTTAAAATTTTTTTCTCTTTACTTTTTGGTTTAAAAAAAATACAGTTAATATTATCTTTTAAAGTGACAGGATAGACTATATCACTAAGAACAATAGCAAAGACAATGTAATAATTTGGAAAAATGAACACACACTACATAAAAAATGAATTGCATATACTAATTTTACCTTATTTTAGAAGAAAAAATACTTTAAAAAAGACATTTTAAAAGACTAATAGCATTTTACTAGAATTATTTGCCATATTTTTCTACTCAATTCCCAAATACTAGTAAGGAAACTTCCTCTAGAGATTACAAAATATATATTTAAAAAGTATCACTTACATTTAATTGCTTCAGCTTTTCTCTTCACTGTCCTTAGTCCCCCCAAACCTTCTAGAAAACCCCCACCATCAGGTCTGCCTGGCCTGGCTCCTCTCCCTAGTGCCAGCGTCATGGCTAAGCTCCCCTGTGCTGACTCTGGCACTTACAGCCTAATCCACTAAGACGGACCCTGCTGAGGTCTCAGGTCTGTTCCTCATGACCCACATCTGCCCCTGAGCTTTTATTTGGAACTTCTGCTCAGGAAATACTTCTCATACAAATTTAAATAACCTACAAGCAAGTATGTTAAGTGATCAGCCCTTGTATCTTTGTGAGTCAAATGTTAATATAATTTTTAAGTTAAGAGTATTTCATACCTGGTGTGAGACATTTCTTGCACTATTATTATTTTTAGACAGAGTCTCACTTTGTCACCCTTGGTAGAGTGCTGAAACATGATAGCTCACAGCAACTTCAAACTCTTAGGCTTAAGCAATTCTCTTGCCTCAGTCTCCCAAGTAGCTGGGACTACAGGCACTGGCCAGAACGACTATTTTTAGAGACCAGGTCTCACTCTGTCTCAGGCTGGTCAAGAATCTGTGAGCTCAGGCAATTCACCCGCTTCAGCCTCCCAGAGTGCTGGGATTACAGGCATGAGCCACCGCACTCAGCCCTATATTTCTTGCATGACAAAGGCAACAGAACCCTGCCACTCACGCCCTGGGAGGTCTGGAAGGGCATGGTGCCTCTGAGGCCCCACAGCTGTTTCACAGTCACTAACAACACTCAGGTTGCAATTCTGCTCAGGGAAAAAGGGATGCAGGTATGGAAAAATAATTTCAACTTCTGGTTCTCCAACATAGAATGGATTTTCACCAACTCACTTTCCGATCTGGTCTGCTTACTGCCAAACAGTAATGGTATTATCTACATCACAGAGTTAAAATGGAAATTAAGTGAGACAACCCATCTGAAAGTGCTCTGTCAGCCTTTCAGTGATTAAACTGTGAAGTGTCCCTTTCAACAGTGCAACCTCAAGGACAATGGGTGCCAGTCACCAGAACACACACTTGTGATCTCCCTCCTAAGCAGCAGGGCAATCCTGAGTCACCTGGTCATCAGCAGACTGGGACACCCTTGGGCCTGCAGTACAGTGCTGCCCAGGGTAGAGTAGCATCTCTGAAACTTTCTAAGTCAAAACCAGCACCCTCGAGCCTCAACAATCTTATACCAGAGCAGGAATTTGGATCAGCCACACAGTACACCGCTCACCTCCAAGAATAAACAGCATTTTGAGAGAACACTTTCCATGAGGAATTTAAACCACTTTCATCAGCTCTTCTATTTTTCTTTTATTCCTAAAACCAAGTTAATCTCCAAAATTAAGAGTGCAAATCTAAAGGGCAACAAAGAGCACTCAGGCCCTCCCTTCCTTGCT